CACGTGTGTGTGTGTGTGCTTGTGTGTGTGTGTGCACGTGTGTGTGTGCTTGTGTGTGTGTGCACGTGTGTGTGTGTGCACGTGTGTGTGTGCTTGTGTGTGTGTGCACGTGTGTGTGTGCTTGTGTGTGTGTGTGCACGTGTGTGTGTGGTGAGCTTGAGGATTTGGGGGTTGGTTACAGAAAGGACAGGACAGGCCGGGTGTGATGGCTCACGCCTGTAATCCCAGCACTTTGGGAGGTTGAGGCAGGCGAATCATTTGAGGTCAGGAGTTTGAGACCATCCTGGCCAACACGGTGAAACCCCATCTCTACTAAAAACACAAAAATTAGCTGGGTGTGGTGATGCACGCCTGTAATCCCAGCTACTGTGGGGGCTGAGTCCGGAGAATCACTTGAACCCAAGAGGTGGTGGTTGCAGTGAGCTGAGATTGTGCCACTGTACTCCAGCCCGGGCGACAGAGCAAGACTCTGTCCTGGGACAAAAAAAAAAAGAAAAAAAAAATCTCCGTCAAAAGTGATTTTTTTCTTTAGGTTACGATAACCCTTCTCAACCAGGATGTTCTCTGCTCTGGTCATTCTGCAGGGCCCCAGAAATTAATAAGACCAGCATGGTGAAAGAATGAGGACCTTTAATTAAGTTCCCCCTTTGTCGCTTCATGTTTTTGAAGTCTGGTGTGGACAATTTGGATTTTGATGTGTCTTGCCCTGTGGAATCCAATCATGGAATGTTTGTGGCTAAGGACACTCATGAGAATACCATAAAAGGAGACAGTCTTGAAGTCATTTATTTTACTTAAAAATATCCCAGGGTTACTATCCTAGGCAACGCAGGGAGACCCTGTCTCTACAAATAATTTAAAAATTAGCCAGGCACGGTGGCACACCCCTGTCGTCTGAGCTACCTGGGAGGCTGAGGTGGGAGGATCGTTTGAGCCCAGGAGGTTGAGGCTGCAGTGAACTGTGATGGTGACACTGCACTCCAGCCTGGGTGACAGAGTGAAAATCTGTCAAAAAAAAAAAAAAAAAAATCCTCCTAGGGTTATGAAACAGAGGTTGCCTAATAAGCTTGCTAATAGCTTAAAAGCACAATTACACTCTAGATGAATGCAGTGTTGAAATGCAAAGGGAGGTAGCTTGTGCCTGTGGTCCCATATACCTTGGAGGTTGAGGTGGGGGGATGGCTTGAGCTCAGGGGTTTGAGGCTGCAGTGAGCTGTGATCATGCAAGTGAGAACGCATCTCTTAAAATAAATAACAAAATAAATGCAAACAGAATCAAAGATGAACTTCTGGATGCCTCCTCCCCACCTCTTTACAACATGTAGCAAAGACGCTTATGTTTGGTTAATAAATTAATTAAATCTATGTTTTTGTCTGAATATACATTCTCTTACCTGATCTGTTCATTTCCCTTTTTTATTTTTTTATTTTTTATTTTTTATTTTTTTGAGATGAAGTCTCGCTCTGTCGCCCAGGCTGGAGTGCAATGGTGCGATCTCAGCTCACTGCAAGCTCCGCCTCCCAGGTTCAGGCCATTCTCCTGCCTCAGCCTCCCGAGTAGCTGGGACTACAGGCGCCCGCCACCAGGCCCGGCTAATTTTTTTTGTATTTTTAGTAGAGACGGGGTTTCACAGTGTTAACCAGGATGGTCTCGATCTCCTGACCTCGTGATCCGCCCGTCTCGGCCTCCCAAAGTGCTGGGATCACAGGCGTGAGCCACCGCGCCCAGCCATTTCCTTTTTTTTAAAAAAAAAATCTTCCTCCCAACACCCATACTCTTTCCTGACATTCTGCCTGTGGCCATGACCTCCTTTCCCTACATCTCTTTCCTAGACCAGCTCACACCCTTCCCCACCCAGCTGAGATATCTCCTCTCCAGGAGGCTCCCCTGACTCTGATTTGGATTGACACATGTTGACAAAATGCCAAACAGGGCCTGCCCATTGCAGGCTCAATAAACATTGAACAGGCTCCCTGTAATCATTCGATTTTCTCTTTGTACCCAGGAATCACCAAGTAGAAGAACTTCGACTCTCAGACTGGTTTCATCCTAGGTAAGAACAAAAATGCCTTTTTGCATGCACACACCAACGATATACCTCAACTTGACGTGATAGGCTTTTCTTCCCCAGTCACTAAATTCAGCTCTCCTGCGAGGTTTCCAGAATTGGAGTTTTATTTTCGAGGTTCTTATAAACAAACCAGGGTCCGTTGATCACGAACCAGGCGGTGATGGTGGTCATGAAGAAGCAGACTCACGCTACCTGGCTTGGCTTTCCTGGTTTACGCAGTGCAAGAACATCTCTTCGGAACCAGCTTGAAAATGCTACTGATGACGCTGCTTGACTTTGGTGGCAGCACTCAGGGGCAGCCTCATCCTTTGTAAAGTGTGTGTAGTGTTCAACTTTGTGTTGTGTTCCTATGTAGGTTTGGGGTTATTTACAGTTTGGGGGCTATTGTAGGCAAAGTTCTGGTGACTAAATGTAGCCCTTTTTTGTTTTGTTTTGTTTTGTTTTTACACAGATGTATGACTTCCTATGTGAGATCCATTTCTAAAATGAAGTTATTAGGCCAAAGAATGCAGACATTTACAATTTTGGATGTAAATTTAAAATGGCTAAATTTACTTTTAATAATGGTACCATTTTATCTTCTTGTATACAGTGCATAAAGTATTACAAGCTTTTTGATGTTTGGTAAAGCTGCTAGTTAAGACCTCAATTCAATTTGCATTTCTGTAATTGTATTGTGTGAGTATTTTTTTTTTTTTTTTTTTTTTTTTAGAGACAGAGTTTTGCTCTTGTTGCCCAGGCTGGAGTGCAATGGCGTGATCTTGGTTCAGTGCAACCTCTGCCTCCAGGGTTCAAGTGATTCTCCTGCCTCAGCCTCCTGAGTAGCTGGGATTACAGGTACCTGCCACCACACCTGGCTAATTTTTGTATTTTTAGTAGAGACA